TTACTGAAGTGCAGATATTATTAGCTGAAATAGTATAATCTTTAAGAGATATTTTATATTGAAATACTTCATCAAATATATCAAGTGCTATCATTGTTGTTTGAATCTTTACAAAAAATTCTTAGATTCTAGGCAAGAAACATTTCTTCCAGAATCCAGTTTTTGGCAAGACTTTGTTTCAGAAAAAGACGCAATAGCAAACTGACAGAAAAAGAAGAAGCTGAAGGTAGTAGCGAAAGCTCATCTAAACGGCGGGGAAGCATTGCTAGCGGGGTGAACGAAAAGAGACAAGAAGATCCGATTGTGTCACCTATACCTCTTTCAGTCGTGGTAGTGTTTAGTTTTGCCAACAAGCTATGTTAAAATTTGTCATTTAGAATAGTTGAAGAACTGTTTGTTTGCTTCAGTTTATGCTTCAAAAAATATATTGTGATTTTCATCCTAATTCTCTTTTTTACTGCTCTCGCACAGTTTTATTATCGAGATTCTTAACTGTTTATAAAAGCGTTTGTTGAAGAGGAAGTTTTGCGGAAATTCATCCAGAAAGCTGTCGCATCAAAAAATTGAAAAAAAAGGACGAAAAATGCAGGATAGCACTGAAAAACTGCAACCGTCATTTGGAACGGTGCCAGGAGCGAGTCACTCACAAGCAGTTGAAATATGCAAAGTAGAAGATGAGAAAATTGCAGATGAGAAAAAGAAAAAAGTAGAGAAAAAAGCGAGAGATAATCAAAGGTTCGCTGTTTATACTAGTTTCCAAATTTCGAGGTAATAAAAAAAAAGGTTTGAAAATTTTTTCAAGAGTATTCGTTGTCCTTTCTAGGTCACTGATTAATGGCTTTTTATTCCGTAATAATGTTTGATGCTTTAATGCTGTTAATGCTTTCCTTGTATACTTTTTCTTTTTGTGTCCTAGGATTTAAATTATGGTTCCGATCTTCGAGATTTTCTTAAAAATTAGTTCCAACAGCATGGAAGAATTATATAAAGATTTAAATATGTATCTCATATTTCTCCAATCAAGGATTTTAATCAGTTTTAATTGAAGAGTTAATACTATGTGGACATAGTGAGAATGCAAGTTTATCAGGAAAATTAACTTAGCAGAATTATTCCTTTTTCATTTGTTTATGCTTTATGACATGTAAATAAATAAGGGTCCTTTTGCAGATTTCGATATGGTAATTATACTCGATATTACGGAAGTCGTCTTGAAAAAGGTAGCGGCCATGATCCACGGATGAAGGTGTTGAAGAAAGAATGGTTCGAGAAGAAATCAGTTTTAGATATCGGTTGTAATGTTGGCTATTTGACTCTCTCAATTGCCAAGGAGTATCAACCGAGGAACATTGTTGGCATTGATATCGACGCTCATTTGGTTGGCGTGGCCCGAAAGAACATACGGCACTATTGTGACAACAATGTACCTGTATGCATTTAAAATTCCAATATTTTTCGAAATTTTTTTTTAACTAAATTTTGACGTCAAATACCTAGCCAGGAGTAGTTAGGTACACCCATGGTACTTCGCTTTTCATCTTATTATTTCGAAATAAAATTAATTGCCATAGGCGATTCATGTCTGATCGGTTTTTGAATACTTATTGTATACAAAGATGGAATTTTGAAAGTCGTATCACTTCATTTAGAATTGATCGTTATTAATCTAGATTGTTGCTGGTTTCCCAGCATCATTTGCTCAACGCTATGGGCCAGTTTCTGCACCGCTTACAACTTTTTCAACTAAATTCCCCGATAACATATGGTTTCGTTGTGAAAATTATGTACTGGAAAAGGATGAATTGTTAGATGCGGTATGCGATTTTCTTTTGTCAGTATGTAAAAGTTACTGTTGAGTACATAGTTTCAAAAACTTCAAAAATTTTTAAAACTTAAATTGGTCAAAAAAACTTATTTATTGATACCGTTGACTCTGATAAATATCAGTTTGTTATCAGTAGATGCGCTTTACAGTATTTTTACTTCGTTTCATTATTATTTCGTGTTTTTGACTGTTTAAATAGTTGTTAAATTATAAAATATTTTGAGGTGAAAGAAGAATACGATGTTATCATGGCGTTAAGTATCACGAAATGGATTCATTTGAACTGGGGAGATGCTGGAATCAAGCGTTTTTTCAAACGTGTTTATCGACACCTTCGTCCTGGTGGTCTATTTATCTTGGAACCACAAAGTTTTGAAACCTATAAGAAACGATCAAAACTGACGGCAAGTAGTTTGTCCATTGCATACGCTGATAAATAGTTAAATTATGCCTTTCAAGTAAAAAGCTTTAAAAGATCCATATGTTATACAGCAACTTAATCTCTTGAGCTTTAGAAAGACATCAGTGACATGTACAAAGCGATTGAATTTATGCCAAATGCATTCCAAGAATATTTAATTGTCGATATTGGTTTTGATATCTGTCAACATATCGATCCTCCCAAAGCACATACAAAAGGTATTTTTCGGGCTTTTCTGTTTACCTTATTGTCATTCTAATTTATGTTGTTCACTTAGGACTAAATGACAATTTGAGGAGATAAGCGTCATATCGCATTTCAGTAAGCTGTTTCAAGGTTGAGCTTCAATTTACAGTTCTTTTGAACTTTTATTCAAAATGTATAAATGGATTTCAGGTTTCGAGCGACCGATCCAGGTATACTGCAAGCGGGTGTCTCATTCTTTTACCAAAGCAAGTTGTTATGATCACGACAGTCTTCCGAAAACTTGTACCGCAGATTCATTTTCACTGTGTAATGTTACTTCTGAAGTCGTAACAAAAACTTCGATTGCAATGGAGTCACACGTAGGTAAGAGAACTATCATGTTGCACCTTGCTGATCCTTAGTACTGGTTTTTTTTTGTCGAATATTTTGAGTTATACGAGCAGCAAAGATTCTTCACAAATTTAGAGGCATATTTCTGAAAAGGACCTTGAAGTTATTTTCAGGATAAATGAACGTTTGCAATAAGAAAAGTTCATGATAGAGTTTCTGTGGAAGAAAGAATGAAACAAAAAAGTCTGGTGTGTAGGTTCCAGTATGTTTCAAATTTAGGTTCATTTTTGTGCCGCCATTTATTGTTAAGCTTTTCTTTTTCCTATGTTTTTCCTCCTAATTTTTTATAACATTTCCGGAATGTTTTGTTTCCAATATTTTGTTATATTTTATGAGATTTCAGAAAGGGCGTAAATATGCATGTTCTTTTATCCTCATAAAAGAAAAATCTTAAGCAAATATTGTGAGTAATTCTGTTCTTATTCCATTTTTCTTAGAAAATATGTTGTGGACTGTCGCTTTAGTTGAAAAAGAATGTGAAATATATGGTTAATCCTAATACGTTTTGTGTAGAATTATCCTCAGAGACAATATCAAATTTGCTTTCAATCAGCTTACTGGTGTTCCTTAATACGGTAAATCTGTTTGCATTGCTTTTTTTTTTTTTTTTTTTTGTTTTTTATACATTCTTCTTAAATCTCATTGTGATTTTTCCCATCTTACTATTTTTCGTTAATTTAAGAATTTGACTTCGTTTGTTCAATAAAAAAAATTATTAAACTAATTGATGTGTGAATAATACAGCGAGCATTAATGAAATCTGATTAATGACAGTAAGCATTTTTGGCAATGCAGTGTACCTGAATTGAGTTCTGTGTAAAGACGAGAATCCATCCAACTTTGTATATGCCAGGATTCATTGATCTACACTATTATACGCTATTATTTACATTGTTTTATGTATGAAAACTTATGAAATTCACTGGTCTGATCAGAAAGTTTATTGGATTTATTTTCTGAATGATTGTTATAGTGGAAATTTCTTGTTTAAATAATCTTTTTGATTTAGATTTGCATAAATGAAGTATTAGTTGAAAAAATATTTATTATTAGTTGAAGAAATATTATGTAATAGATGATAGGATAACAGAGATATCAGGATGAAGTTAATCACCAGATTATTGTTTAGTTCATAGGAAAATTGAGATTTGGCTGGGTAATCATTGAAAGCGAAATGTTTTAAATCCAGAGATAGTAGAAGAATTTTATTTTTATTGTGTGAGCTGATACGTGCTTATGAGATTTTTTGCAATATTTTTACAATTGCAATTAAGAATGCAGTAACAGACAGATTATATTGATGGAGGATGTTTTCTAGGATATTAGAATAACTTGGTGATGTTTTTTCAAGCCACTATATATCAGATATCACAACAAACCTTATCATTAGATTTGAAGATTTTCAAAACATCATACGACATAATGATTAAAAGACTTATTACTTTAAACATAATTTATTATTTCTTATTGAATGTCTACATTAAAATACATGCTAGCAAATACTTTATTATTTTAATCAAAATTTATTCTCTAAGACCACTTTTAATGACTCTTGATTGATCATATTGTTTTTAAAAAAAAAGTTTTAAAAAAAAAAAATGTTTTTTTTTATTGCATTTCAACTGTTTAATCCTTCCTAACCGTAGTGCCTTTAGTTTGATTCAAAAGCGGATCATCTGAAGAGGATTCTTGTTTCTAAAGCTTGAACTGTGTTTTCTTAAACGGTTAATTCCAAATGACGTCTCATAACTATTCGAGATTTTCTAAAATTGATTTTTATGTTTGTACTGCCTGGATAAATATGTTGTCATGACTATACCTATGTATATTGTGTAATTTCTTTTTGTATTGGAAAATGGATTAAGCATATTTCCTTTACACCATAGAGCTGTAATTTGGGGTGTACATTCGTTCGTGGTCAATACTGGTTTGAATATTTTTAGTTTGTGTAGTGTTGCTGGAATAACTTTTCTTTAATTTTGAATGCATTCAGTTGGTTGCTAAGATAAAGCTCATCTTTTGGTGTTTAATGAAGGGAAAAGCCAAAAAATATTGATTTAGAATTTTTCTATTTCAGCGCAAAAACCAATGTTACGCGAAATTTTCTGAATGAAGTCGTTAATTTATTGCCATTTTCTATTTTTCTTATTTTCAGAAATGGAATGGCCAAAGTTCGATTTTCCTAAGTGTTCGCATATCCAGTCATCGCGATTGTCAAATGTTGGGAGATCGAGTTGGGGTTTGAAAAGAAGTCGTTTTAAAATTTGTCGTTCTTTGACGGTCGATTTTGAAAATATCAAATGTAAGAAGAAAGAAAATTCAACGAAAGAATACACTGTACAAAACGAAAGTTTTATAACTCTCCATCAGCAAATGTTGCCGAATAGCAATCCACCAAGCTGCTCACGAAGAGATCTTTCCCAAATAAATTTAAAAGGAATACCACCATTATCTCCAATCCTCGTTAATGGATTTTTGAAGAATCCAACAGCTTATTCGCCTACACCTTTGAGAGATTCAAATTCAAATATAGGAACAATGTTAATATCGTCAAAGCGCATAGATTTGGTGAATCCAGTAGTAACCAGCAATTCACATTGCGAGACTGCCATAATTCTTGAGTCTTCAGAATCTGCATTTACTCTGCCATGTGCGAAACAATTACTTTTATCAGATGGAAGTTTAACTTCTTCACTGCAGAAGTTAGAGGTAATACCACGAAATCCAACTTTTACTAGCCAGTCTAAATCACGCACTTCTTTTGTTGCTGTTATGAAAGAATCCGATAGTTTAAATTGGAAGTGTAAAAAAAGTGGTAAGGAAGCAAATTACAGCCCTAAATTGCATACATTTCCATCGATAACATCTTCAACAAATCTCCACTGTTCAGGTAGTTCTCCAATGTCTCTGGAAACTCTTCCAACATCTGAAATTGGTTACAAAAAATTGAACGAGAACAAGAGCTTTTCGAACTTAGATTTTTTAGATTCTCAATTAAGCTTGGAATCTGACAAATCCCTCACGCTACGACACACACGAAGTGATGACGATGTTTTCCAAAATCATACTGTATCTGTTGACGATTCCGGAAGTGGTGTTTCTACAAGCGAGCAATCACGTGACTGCTTTTTTGATGTAACAATTCATGAAATTGAACCAAATGATTCGGATCATGAGACAAAACTTATTGCAGAAGACACATCACCAATAACAAATCAGTTAAAATTATATGATTTCCAAGGCGGGAACAGTGAGGCGATACATCAAAAGCAGTATCAACGTTTGAGTAAGCTAGCAGAAACTCTCAAGAAGCGATTGTTTATTGCTTCATCAGATTTAGTTATGTGGAAATGTGAGGAACCAAACCAACATCCGGTTAAACGTGTTACAGTAATTTCAGGTGTAGAACAATGGGGATTCTGCTGGACGCTAGTCAAGAATGCTAATGATTCCGAAATTTCCCATATTGTAGATTCGAAACCAATGAAAAAAAGTGCTGATATGCTGTATAGAAACAGAATTCAGGAAGATACAAGTGCTGATGATAATCAAGAAGATCGAAGATATCATGATTCACTGCAGCGAACTTCACGGGAAACTTTTTCAATTTATCAGCCTCTTTCAAAATTGAATACTTCTTTGGGTGAATTTATTCTATCACCTCGTTATTACCGCTGAATTTGTTTAATAAAGAGAAAAGTTATTGAGAGTGATGTCTAGACTAATTTTAAAAGTCAGTGAAAATTGGAGGATATTTGTACCAATTTGTTGGAACAGTGAAACTTTTTTTGAATAGAATTTATGTTTGATAAAGACAATATGAGTGTATTTGTATTTGAAAGTAAGCTACGCATCAATCTTGAGCTTTGTATGGTGGAGTTTTTCTGAGTGTTTAAAAAATCCATTATGTTAGTGTTTGAAGTCTTTCATTTTGTGCAACTGACATTTGCATCATTCTTAGATCTATTCTGAGTGAATGCTAAGAAATAAAGGGATATATAAAGCTAATTTCTTGATGCTTTACTAAAATCGTTTATTGAAAAAATTCGAATTTGCAGGAAATAGCAATATCAGAGTATATAAGATAAAGCTGATTGTTTCCATTATTAAAAAATTTCATTTACTTCTATCACTGCAAAAAAATTCAGGAAAGAATATGTGAGTGTATTCATATATCTTTGTTTTTAAAAGAATTATACGCTCTGTTTATGTATTTAAGCATTCATTTATCATTGCTACATTGATTGTTTTGGTTCACCCTTATTCATCATTTTAACTCATTGTGTCTTATCATGTGTGTTTTCATTGAAGGACTTGTGTTTATGCAGAGCTTTTCAGCTTATATACCAAAATGAAGCTTATAAAATTTTTCGATATACTATTAGAAGAAGGAAAAAATTAGTGGATTTCTTAAATTCATAAAAGTACATTTAACAAATTGTCATGTTGTAATATGATAGGAAGCTAAGCATTTGAGTGTCGTTCTTCAGTTCATCTGTACAATATGTATTATTATTTTATATAAAAAGAAATTCGTACGTAGAAGACTCATAAGCACTGTCCTCACTTAAATCCTAATGAAACACATGGATGGATTTAAGAAACAAATGATCATTAGATTCACTCTTAAATTTGGTCTGCTGAGAGTAATGGAACGAAACATATGGTCTTCTTAGCTACTTTTCGATGGCTATCGCAATTATAATTTGCATAAAGTTAACAACAAAGAAGACATAAATACTTCTTAATTGCAAAGTTTGTTCATTTTACAACAATTTGGCTTCTGGGAGAATTAATTTGCTCATTGAGGAAATTTCAGAAGCTCGCATATAAGATGTAAAAATAGTTTGTGAACAAATTTGCTACCCAACATTTCGCTTCCATTAACAATTCAATTTTTGGATAACTTTATTTAGTGTTATTGTAAAGCTTCACTGAGACTTGGACTTCGAATCATATTCAAATTATTTTACACTCTTTTACTAGATAGTACGCAAAGAAAGATAGTTATGGTAAAATCATCTTATTTTGGTTTGGGTATCATCGATTGTGCTTATTCGGTGGTAGTTCGCACAAGCAACAAAGAAAACGCTGGGACTACAGCGAATATATTTGTACAAGTGTGTATCTTCATTTTTTCGAATTATAAGTATAAATTTAAAAATTTAAGTTTTTGCTTGAAAGAAAAGAAAAGTGTGCTTAGAAAAATAATTTAACAATTTAACAAATTTAAATTTTTATGATACCAACTTTGTAAGGGGAACATGCTGTACCATCAACTGGAACCAAATACTTTGTAGTTAACAGATATCGAAGGCATACAGACGGATAAAGTACGTCTTAAATGTTCAATTAGTCATCGAAAGAAATTTCAGCGGGGCCATGTAAGTCAAATTTTATTATAAGATGAAAGAAAGAAAAAGAAAAGGGAAAGAGGGGGATTTGAACCTCTGCTATTACCGTAATGACTATTGAGGCATGTTTGATGTCACCCAAGAAAATGTATAAAAATGAAGTCCCTGCTTCTAAATTTTTTTAAATGTATATAATCTGTAAATAGCTCCTTTATTCCTCTATTTTGTTTCAGTCAGATCTATTCTTGCTAATTGAACAAAACCCATTATCAGAGCTCAAATCACTAGAAGTATGGCATGAAAAAAAGGGTGACTGCAAGCCTTGGTTACTGCATTCTGTATATATTATCGAACATATGCATCATATACTATATCAATTTCCATGTCACAAATGGCTTGGTGACGATCCTGATGACTTGGTTATACTTGCATTTGTAAAGAAAATTATATTACCTAGCATAAAAACAAAAAGGATTGATTTTATAAAGACTTCACAGTAGTAATCAATATTATGTTTTTTAAAATTGTTAAAAAGCACATACCAATAACACAAATTAGTTCTATACGGCCTTGCATCTCGCTATAAATTTATGCTACCAAGAATAAATAATAACCACAGTTGCAACGTAATTGTAATTTTAACACAGAAAGATTCATCTATAGATTTCAAGTGTAAAGCTAAACGCTTCCGGACAACCGTTTAAAGTTTTGCAAGAAGATGAACTATAATCAGATCCGCTTGCGACATCTTGTCAATAAATTCTTTTGCAAATGGTATAAATTCCTGCATATGATGATATAGCAATTTTACATCTGAATCATGTTCTATCATTTTCTTCGCTTGTAAATTATTTCTGTGCAGTTCTTTGTCACCTGTCTAAAATTTCATCATGAAATATCAAAGCTTTAGTACTTCATAATAACGAGAGATAAAACAATGGGGTATAAATATGGAATGATGTAACCTGTCTGCATTCTCCATAAACAAATACTATTCTATTGCAGGAAAACCCATATAACAACTTGTTACCACAGCTCCCAGTGAGGTATCCAACATTAATAATGAAAATGTATTATTAATAAAATGCCATCACCAAGCAGATAAGAAATGATTGACATATATGAAAAATATGCAATATAAAACTGCAAGGCCCACATGTATCTTTTAAATAAACAATTGGAGGATTGAGGGATTAATCTGCATCACAGAAACTCAATGAGTAAGAGGGTGACCCCGTCAGTTTCTTATCATTTGTCAAAAATGTTGTAATGTCAGTAAATAATAAATGAAGAACCGAATAATGCTATATCCTAATCCGAAGAGTCGGAAGATTGCATGTTTGCATACTGCATGCTACATTGCGTGCTCTTGCGCAACTATCGTGAATAATTGATGAATTCAGGCGGCACTCTCACATTTACTTAAATAATCTTCCATAAAAATCTCGAAAAACAAAACAAATGAAGCTGGAAAGGTTCGAGAAGTTCGATGTTTGAATCAAGCACTCAAATCATTTTGTCTTGATGCACTGATATCAACCGAGGTCGTCTTTTTCAAAATACTTCCATGAAATGGTATCCCAGCCAAAATCAAGACATCAATGCAAGCTCTTTCGGGAAAAGCAGTGATTTGATAAGATAAGGTATATAAAGATAACTACGTCATTCTCGACAATATCAAAATCTCATGCACTTTCACATCTAGGATATTAGCTTATTGCTTTCGAGAGGTCACAGAGTCACAAACTCCCAGAGTTGGTTAATCTAAGTTACATTATCATTGTCAACACTTATCTGCTAGCTAACATTCATCCTTCTTGTTTGTCCACTCAACTCTGAATAGCTTAAGTGGTATCCATTCTCGTACATTCTGCCTTATACGCCTTCCGAGTTACTTCAAAAAATATTTAAATTTTTTGCAGGATAACATTTCTTACAAAAATTACAACAGTGCTATTATTAAACCGGAAATTTACAAACAGCACCTACCGGTAACCCTCTTGCAGGATGTCGAAAAGTAAATCAGGAAATCAGCCGAAACGCAACTGTTCATCACGGTATTTTATCTTTGGCCGACATACTATCCATCGTATTTTCTCGTTCGTTGTTTTTCTTCAAATATAAATGAAAGTAATGGTTTCATAAGGTAGGCTAATTTCCCGGTATTTCGAGGAGAATGGAGAGAGCTGGGATCTCAGAGCTGTATTGCAAAAAAGCACCGCGAATAATCTCCAGAGGTCGACTACGTCCTGCAAATACTTCAGCCAAAAAGGGTATACTTTTCAATTTTGTTATCTCAACTGTATATTTATTATTTTTCTGTTTCGAAATTCACTTAAAAAAATACAAGTTAAGGGGAAAAAGTGTGAAGCAAAATAATAACAGATAATTCTGGCACATTTAGATCAATAGTTGATTGTTTATGTGAATTTCTAGAAAAAGAATGTGTTAAGAACGATTATGAAGTAGATGATGAAGTTGGAGAGGATTTCGTAGTTCGTGGTGGAGTGATGATGAAGATCGCTGATGTGAACAAAGAGCAGTGGAAATCAATGAAACGGTTTTATATCGATGTCAATCGGTCTCAGATTTACCAGCATGCTGAAGCTCATGATAGGATATCACTAGGTGATGAGGCTAGCTCATCTCGTGTTACAGTTGAAGTTTCTGCGTTACCAGGTGATGGACGGATGTTCCATATTTGTGATAATCTTCCAGGCAAGTTTTTTTTTGATCTGTTTCATCATGTAAACTTTACAATCTGTAAAAAATTGAGTTCTCCTTGCTAGATAATATGTAAATATCTGATACTCTGTTGTAGTGTAAAACATTTCGTGAAGATCATAATACCTTGTCAGGATTAGCGCAAATTTTTTCAACTATTTTTGAATAAAATTTTCACCTTTTGAAAAACTTGAATACTGCATTATTTTAGGTATAGCAAATGAGGTGGAGTCGTATCCTTGTCGTCATTGTCCTAACCGTATTTTTTTAACTTCATTCGGCCTGGAACGCCATACTGAAATGGAACACAAAACACACCTTCCTGAGGTTTTGGAAGAAATATCAAGGATTCGTAACGAATGGAAGAGGTACAGTTACCTGTTTGTTTTTCTGCAACGAATTGCCAAGAGCAGTGCATTCAGTTTTACTTTGCATGGCATGGAATTTTTTCAATGCTGTTGGTTTTCATCTGGCTTTTATGTAATTTCTATTCCATATTCGACATTTTAAGGAGAGAGACATTTAAAGCGATAGCCAAAAAGCGACGTGAAGCGTTAAAGAAGACAAGGATGTTAACGGAAATTGTTAAGCGATCGCGTA